CAATCCTCAAGTTTAAATGAGCCCAAGAATCCATTTCTATCACTTGCAGTTCGAAGGACTTAATAAAATCACACCTCCGGGCAGCCCAAGGTGTGTGATCATCGACTACCTAATTCTTCCGCAACAATGATTGTGGCCAGGCCTGGGCCAGGGCAGGGTGACCGGGAACTTCTAACTTCCTGCAGTCAGGCTGATTAGAAGGATTGGCACTACCCTTCGTATTTAGATTACAGAAGTGAAAATGTTGTTTGTTTGTTTGTTGCCTTGCTTGTTTGTTAACAGTAGAAATGCTCTAAGCCTTTGACATGTGTAACCAGGATACTTTTGAAATCCCTCCCACTGTATAGTTCCCTTTATTGGTAAATTGCTCCCCCAACCCTGACCCTATTCACCAGTGACTACACCTTGGTGCTCACTCTCCCCAGGGATAAGAACAGAGGACGTCCTCAGGGTACGGGAGGGTGGAGGTGGGAGAGGAAGCAGTCTTCCAGGATTGGGAGAGAAACAGGCAGAGAAAGAAGTCAGCTGCAGCTTCTCCCCATCATGGCCAACTCTGTGGTGAAGATGGGATAAAAAACTCCCTGTTGGGGCAGGAGGCAGCCAGAGCAGCATGGTTGTGGGCAGGGGCAGGAGAGGCGTCCTCAGAGAGGAGAAGACGTGTGGTTGTTTAGGTGGAGAGAGGGGCTGAGACACGCCTCCCTCCCCTGCCTGAGTCCAGCCCTCCCTCTGCTCTCTGCAGTGCCCCAGGGCCTGAGTCAGGAGATAGACTGAGGGCTGAGGGTCAGGGGGCTTCACAGAGACATGGGCATGTTCCCAGGGCAGGCTAGGTACTGGTGCTGGTGCTGGAAAGGTGGACCCATGCAGCCAAGGTAGCACCTCCGAGCCAGCAGAGAGACACCAGGGGACGTTTCACCAGGAGGAGGCAGAGGGCAGCGGGCAGCCAGCAGGAGGGTGGGGCAAAGGAGGCCAGCCTCAGGGAGAGAAGAAGCTCTGGTTAAATGGAGTCACTTGTGCTAAACCCACAACAGCAAAGCAAGACTTAGAACTTAACCTAACTGGGGCTCCAACTGCCCAAGAATGCAGCCTGGAATCAGTCAGCCTGGTGGCCAGCACTGGTGGGGTGATTCCGTTCCCCTGAGGAGGTGACCTTGCCTGAAACAAGGCTCTCTTTGCTAATTATTTCCTTTTCCTTCCCCTTTCCACGTTTACGAGCCTTTCCTTTCCTGCAGCTCAATGAGCCCCTTTCTACTTGCTGGATGGGAGGCTGCCCAATTCATGAACTGTCTGAATAAAGCCAGCTTGGCCCTTTACACTTACTCAGCTGAATTTTTGGTTTTTAACATCCTGATAGAAAATGTGGGCCTGAATTTGCCTGACACTCTCTTGCAAATGACTGACCTTGAAACCATGCCCCATAAAGTTGAAAAACACATCCTGATAAATTGGGAATTTGACATTAACACATACACATGACTATATATAAAACAGATAAACAAGGACCTATTGTACAGCACAGGGGACTGTATTCAATACCTTGTAATAACATATAACAAAAAGAATCTGAAAAAGAATATATGTATATAAACCCATCCTGAAACCGTGTCCCATAGGGTTAACAGAAACTGGTGACTAACAGAGATTCTTTAGCTGGAGTTACGGAACAGCAGGTAAGGGAACAACTTGTTAAAAACTCCTCCGCTTGGAGCCTGCCTTCACTGACCAGGCTCGCCTTAATTATTTCTTGGCTCTTTACCTACCTACCCCTTTAGATAACTCTGACGTATGGTCACTATAGGAACAGGGGGAGGATGGGCTTAAGCCGTTTTCCAGGAACGCGGAGGTGGCTCCTGTCCAGTTCAAGCCGCTAAGGTTGGTTGCGACCACCGACCCGAACGCTGGGCCTGCGCAGGCGTCCAGTGAATGACCGTTTGACATCAGATGGCCGAAAACTGCACCCTCGGAGCCTCCGCCTTTGAACGCGCAGCCCGTCAAGAAGCACGTGACTCGGTGCGCCTGCGCAGATCCCTGATGCCCTCACCTTTCCCCACGCCTAAGACCACCCTGCTTCTGTAGCCCATAAATATCTCAAGCCCCTCGCCTTCAGGGAGGCAGAGCTGAGA